TACCTTGGTATATGGCCAAAAGTAGGAGAGATTCCCAGGAACAGCAGTGTTTTAGAGGGAGCTGGTAAAGAAACAGTCAGAAGAGAAATGCAGGAGAGAAGGCTCGGGTCACAACCCAGCATCAGAGAAATCCCTGTGGTAGAAAATAACCACTCAATCAAATAACTCAAAGCCACTACAGGGCTTTTCCTAACCTATCATACCTAGGTTTTTGCCTAGTCTCAGTTTAAGTCATTCAAGCCGAGGAAAGTCATCCTTCAGCCTGGCAGGTCTCGGTGCTGTAAGTGCTCCCTGATAAGCTAATGGGAGTTTCTGAGCACCATTCTCATCTGCCTGCTTCCCCAGACCTCAGCTAGTGCCTCCACCTCTTCCTTACTCAAGTTTAGCTCTCATGCCTGTACACAACCTGTGATTTCCTTACACGGCTTGAACACACTTGCAACTTGCTGGGAGAAGAAAGAGGACACCCTGCTTCCCAGCCTTGCTCCTTTCCAACCCTCTCTCTCACCTTCACCTAACTCTATTTTGGCAGGATGGAGGGCCACATGGGCTTTATGCTGGAGGTGGATGACCCTCATAGCAGGAGGTGGAGGCATGCAGCTGAGAGGTGGGAAAGCAGGAGGGAAAGAGGAGGAGCAGTAGTTTTTGGAGGGGCCCAGTAGTTTATTTGCCTCCACTGTAGTGGGGAAGCACACGTTGCCTGTGTGAACCACATGTGCTTGGCCACATCTGCTGCTGTTGCAACACCAGGAGCCTCAGCAGAGCTACCATCAGGACTGTGAGACACACTGTGCTCTCTCTCCCAGAAGGCTGAACTCCCTCTCCTGAGGCTTTTCTACATGTTCCTCGCACCTGACACACCTTTTCTACGGCACGGCCTGCAATTCTGTTCCCCAGATTGTGTCTTTTCGCACAGAAAGGAGAAAAGCTCCTTTGCTCTCAAAGCAGAAAGCACATTCAGCACTTTAAACATTGCTTCTGCAATGCAGGAAAAGCGTCACATTTCAAAACCTATAGCATGATGAAACCTCCTCCCCTCCCATCGCCAAGTGGCTGGCCACATTTAACACACCACATCCTGCTAGGGCTTATCTTCATTGGCAAGTGCCAAAACCCTCAACATTTACCCTGCCAGTGACTGTAAGGTGAGTTGAGAGTGGCTGTAAGGCAGGCTTGATGGGCCCCTCTGCTCACAGGCACAACATCCCTCCGATGGGCTCCCCCGACCCCCAACAATAGACTCAGGAAGGACACGGACACAACTGCCAGCAGCTCACGGAAAAAAAGCAGCAGAAGGGACAGCAACGCAGACATCTTCACCCTGCAGGTGGGGAGCACAGTGCCAGCACTGGCACATAGTCGAAAATGAAAATGTCACTTGATTTACATCAAGGACCAACCGGCCTGCCAGCCCTGAAGCCTCAGATCCAATGCTTGAGCCAAACCCCAGGTCCACAGGAGCCAGCCAGGATTGCTTCACTGATGTCCCCAGGCTTAAAGCAGGACTTGCAGCCTGCTGGAGAGAACCCTATCCCTACACACTCCTGTTTACCAACAAGTCAACTATACACCTGATGGAGGGCCAGTTAAGACGAGTTCTGTTTCCCAGCTGTGGACACTGGAGAGGTGATCATAGCCCCCAGCTCACCCAGGAGATGTTCCCTGTGTCTGCTGGTTGCCCCAGATTGGCATTGCACTGTCTCTCTCTGTGGTAAAGCAATCTGCTTATCTTCTACCTGGCAGAATTACAGTTATCTGAAACAGACTTGATGGTTTGGTTTTCTTTAAATTTTTTTTTCTTTTTAAACCTGTGTTAAAGAGAGCTTTTGGAAGCATCCTTAGAAGAGTGGCAGGTGCCACAATGCATAGTTTGCACTAATTTTCCGCTGTCTCTCTTTTGCCCTGGGCAGCGAGCCAGACCCTCTCTTGTGGAAGAAGGCAAGACTGGTCAGAAAGAGGCAGGTATTTCTGCAGTGAAGTTTGGTTTCTTGATTAAGAGGCTGAAGTCCAGTATTCCCTGAAACCAAGTTAGTCACCTAGAGGCACCTCCTCGGCTGCCATCTCCAAAACTTGCTCCAGCCAAGCCCTTCAAAATGTCTCTCCTCATTCCCCAGATATGCCCATGCATGATCCCATGTCCAGGCAAAAGCACTTTTGCAACCGGCTTCCCCCCAGGCACAGGCTGCATTTGCAGCCAAGGCTCTTGCCATCTTTTTCAGTTCTGCTTCCTTGGAGAGGATGGAGGGGCACGAGAGCCCCCCACGACATCACCACGGGAAGTCAGGCAACGACCGATGGTCACCACCCCACCAGTGTTAGCTGGAGAAACCGAGGCAGAGGGTGCCCTGCCGTGTCTAAGACGAAGGAAGCACCAAGCCAGAAGCAACCGCTGTCGTTGGGTGCTCATCCCCTGCTGCAAACATCCAGCCAGGGCGAGTGCCGCAGCCTGCAGCATCCTGCAGCAGCGAGTGTTTCCCTCACACCTGCATTGAGGAGTCATGCACCGCTGCCTCACCAGCAATTGCTGCCTGGGCTCCCTGCAGCAAGCCGGCCAGGTCCCGAGCAGACCTCACGTGGCATTTGCTGCCCCTGTTTTGAATGCCCCTGTTAACAGCGGCTTATTTTTTACTGGCCAGTGACAAAGACAGACACGCACCTGGGGACTGAGAATTAGGGTAAGCCCAGAAGTATTCCCCACTCAAAAAAGCGCTGGGGCCATTACAGAGAAAAAAAGTGCTATTAAAAGAATGAGTGACTGTTAAGGGCTTGGCACTGGTCCAAAATGAACACCCAGAAGATCCCTTGGAAAGTCACCTTTGAACCTGGGGGTAAAGAGAAGATGTGAAAAATGAGGATTCCAGATGTTCCCTTGCAGTCCCGTTTCAGGGACAGCTGTAGGACCTAGAACAGGGGGTAATGCCACGTTTAAGAGGGCGCATCTTGCATTTTTAATGTTCATCTTCCTCCAGCTCTTGGCCTGAAGACCTCACGTAGTTCTAAGGAAATGTCCCACAGAGTCTAAACCAGTATGTGCCTTCAGGGCTGCAATGCTACCCTTCACAGCCCCTCCAAATAGGAGCCCTCAACCCTGGGCTCATCTAGAAAGGCACATTTTTTTTTTAGTCAGAAAGAATTACCCTTTTTTTCCAGATGAATGTGAAGGAAAATTCTGAGTCTAAGTGAGTGCTAACCACAGTGTCCAACACATGGCAGCGGCATGTCAGCAAGCTGCTCCAAGGTGGTACTTTCCAGAAGGCATATCCCGCCCATTGGTCCACTGCAGCCTAAATTTTCATTAAAAAAAAAGAATACAACGAAAAAAACCCAGAAAGGTGCAACATGGTGAGTCTTTAACTCTTTGCATGGTTCAGCACCAGAAGGCCATCCTTGCCAAGTGGGAGGGGTTGTGCCCACCTCTCTGTGCCATGGAGTGAGTCAGGGAAATGCTGCCCTGCACCATTTCGGAGCCGGAGGTGTTCCCTGATGAAGAGCACCCTTCTCGCTCACCTCATGGGCATCCCATGGGACTTGCATAAGGCGATCCCTTGGATCAATGCATGCAGTAGAGCCTGAAAACTGCCGCCCTCCCCACCCCGCATTTGCAGGCTCCTGCTGCTGGCTCATCGTCCGTCATCTGTCAGCAAGGAGCCCTCAAAGTTTTTCTGTGAGACACGTCAGATGTCGCTTAACTGCGTATCTTGGTTTCATTTTTTAGGATGCTGAAAGAGCTTGGGAACCAGGCAACAATGATGAGATCCAAAGATCGCAGTGCCACAGGCATTTTGTGCTGATGCGGAGGTGTTCTCCCGTTTTCCTGTCCCTTTTGGGCAACCCTGCAACTTTCCTGCAGCAGGAGCTCTTCCTCACAGATAGACAGCCAAAAGCAGGAGGGGTTTTCCCTCTCGCAGGCCTAAACCTTAGGAGAGAAAAACCCTGCTTCGCTTTTAAGCACTGAGCCAACCTGAGTAAATTCAGAGCTGTTCTATATAAAGCAGAGAAGCAGAAAAGGTCAGCAGGCACTGCTGGCGGTGCCGAGGCACCGGCAGCTTCTATTCCCACTTCCTTTTCTGTTACTATTTTCTCCAGCAGATGCTTCTCAAACTCCACGTTTGCAGCGGGCTGCAGGGGAGCAGCAGATGGCAGAACAGGCAGGGCATATCGAACCCTTGCAGCCGCCCGGGCGGACAGTCCGGCGCAGCCCCTGTGCTCTCCGCTACCTGAAATCCCCAGGGCCCTGTTCCAGCCCCCTCCTTTCCCTTGCCCCCAAATTCCCCAGGGACTCTGCTCTGACCCAGCACTACATTCGTGATTGCCCTGAAATCCCCCAGGGCTGCAGCTCAAAAACTACCACTGCTTTCTCTCACAGGCAAGGGGGGGGGAATTTTTTTCCCTTCATGTAAAGGGGCACCTGGTACCTCCTGGGGCGAACTGGGGCTGTGGAGAGCACGTCAAGTGACTGACAGTCGGCAAAATGGTTTGGCCTCCAGAAAACGCAGCCTGAGACACGCTCAGCCCTGTTCCTTGCTCCTGCTGCCGTGCCTTCCCTTTCCCGTTCACCGGACGCCCTCAGCCACCTAACCACCACCCCCCTTAAAATAAAGGGTAAAGCAAGGCAATGGCACCAGCAAGGGCCTGGAGATGTGGCACGAAGCAGGACCACTGGAGGCAGCAAGGACCAGACCTGGTTTGGAGGAGGCTGGGGTCACCCGGGGGGTGGTGGGAGAGCCCTGGGCCCAAACACCAGGGGATCGGGCAGGGGCTCCCGGTAACGGCTGGAGGCTCAGGCTGCAGTGAATGAAAGCTGAGAAAGGATAGGGAAAGAGAAACCGAGGCTGAAAAAGGACAGGGACACCCCCCAAGGTCTGATTTTATTTATTTATTTATGTAATATAAAATATTTCATTTCCCCGCCGTGACCTCACTCCCGTTTCCCGAGTTGCCGGTGGCGACTCCCGCCAGCCCCAAGCCAGAGGCGGCCCCGAAGACGAAAGCAGCCACCGCTGCTCTCCCGCCCAGGCCGCCACCGGAACGGCCCGCCTCCGCCGCCGGCGGGACCGCGTAAAGGGGCCGAGCCGAGCTGCCTGCCGGGAGCCGAGACCTCTGCGGATGTTCGCGGGCAAGCTCCTTCCTCTCCCCGGCCGGGCCGCGTCCTGGCCGGGCCTGCTGGCCGCGCTGGCCGCGTAAGTACCGGTCCGGCCCCGGCCTCCTCTCCTGCCTCTGCCCCCTTGCCGTGGGGCCTGAGGAGTGTGGTTTTGGGGGGCGGTGGGTGGGAAAGGCGGGGGGGACGTGACTCAGAGTTCCAGCTGGGATGAGGCGGTTCCGGCGGTGCCCGCTGTTGTGGCCGGCCCCTGGCGCAAGGCCGCCCAGAGCCCGCCCCTGCTGACGGCCTGCGCCAGGCCCTGCCCAGACGGGCCTTCCTGCTCTCCCCGGGCGGCCGGGAGCCTGAGCTGACCCTGCTGGCGGTGCGGGCTGCGCTTGGCAGAGGGGGTCAGCGTGTCACACACCCTGCCTGCACTCTGGTCTGCGGCCCGGCCACACACCCAGCATGGGCCTGAGCTGCTGCTGCGCTGGGAGGAGATGGCCAGCTGCCCCCGGCCCAGGGGGAAGGGTGTGCTTTGAGGGAGTATGTGCCCTGAGGGAGACAGGGGTGCTAGGCGGGCTGTCCGGCCTGCTGGAGCTCAGCAGTCAAGGCTGGAACTGCGAGAGATTTCAACCTCCCTCTCTGTTGGAACTGGTTCAGAGGAGGGCCACAGCAACGACCAGAGAGGTGGAGCACAGCTCCTATGAGGACAGGCTAAGAGAGTTGGGGTTGTTCAACCTGGAGAAGAGAAGGCTCCGTGGAGACCCTATAGCAGCCTACCAATATCTGAAGGGAGCCTACAAGAGGTATGGGGAGGAAACGTAGTGATAGGATATGGAGTAATGGTTTCAAACTGAAAGAGGGGAGATTTAGATTAGATATGAGAAAGAAATTCTTCACTGTGAGGGTGGTGAGACACTGGAACAGGTTGCTTAGGGAGTTTGTGGATGTCTCATCCCTGGCAGTGTACAGTGCCGGGCTGGATGGGGCTTTGAGCAACCTGGTGTAGTGGGAGGTGTCCCTGCTCATGGCTGGTGGGTTGGAACTAGATGATCTTTAAGGTCCCTTCCAACCCAAACCATTCTATGATTCTTTTTTATTTTTCATAGTGTCTTCTGCACTGAAGCAGGCCGGGGGGAAAAATTATGTCCTAAGTCAATGGAAAACTATGTGGCGTCAATGGTGCTGAGCGCAGTTGGTGATACGCTGGGCTATTACAATGGGAAATGGGAGTTCGAGCAGAGCGGCCCGGCCATCCACAAGGAGCTGGCGGAGATGGGGGGACTTGGCAACCTCAGCATCCAAGGTTGGAGAGTCAGCGATGATACCGTGATGCACTTGGCCACAGCTGAAGCCCTGGTAGCTGCTGGGAAGAACCCAAGTTTAGAGCATCTCTATTCCCTGATTGCAAAGAACTACAAGGAGTGCATGAAAGACATGGAAGGCAGAGCTCCAGGTAATCCCTCCATAATGTTGTCTGAACAGAGCTGTCGTCTCGCTAACGTTTCTCTCTTTCACAGAATCACCTAGGTTGCAAGGGACCTTTAAGATCCAGTCCAACCATAAAAAAAACCAAAACCAACAAAAAACCACCCTCCAAACAAAACACACACACCAACACTAAAGCATATTCCTGAGCACCATGTCAATTCATCTTTTGAGTATCTTGAGGGATGGTATCTCAACCACTTCCCTGGGCAGCCCATTCCAATTCCTGATAACCCTTTCAGTGTAAAGATTTTTCCTAATATCCAACCTGAACCTCCCCTGGTGCAACTTGAGGCCATTTCCTCTTGTCCTATTGCCTGTGACTTGGGAGAAGAGACAGACCCCTGCCTCTCTACAGCCTCTTTTCAGGTAGTTGGCCTTGTTGAAACTCATCCCATTGGTCTCAGCCCATCGATCCAGCCTGTCCAGATCCCTCTGCAAAGCCTCTCTACCCTCCAGCAGGTCGACACTGCCACCCAGCTTGGTGTCATCTGTGAACTTACTGAGAGTGTGCTTGATCCCCTTGTCCAGATCATTGATAAGAATGTTAAAGAGAATGGTAAACAACATCCACAGCCTTTCCTTCATAGTGTGCTTGATCCCCTTGTCCAGATCATTGATAAGAATGTTAAAGAGAATGGTAAACAACATCCACAGCCTTTCCTTCATCCGCCAAGTGGGTCACTTTGTCATAGAAGGAGATCAGGTTTGTCAAGCAGGACCTGCCCTTCATGAACCCGTGCTGGCTGGACCTGATCACCTGAGCATCCTTCATGCCCTGCATAATGGCACTCAGGATGATCTGTTCCAAGACCTTCCCAGACACCGAGGTCAGACTGACAGGCCTGTAGTTCCCCAGATCATCCTTCCGACCTTTCTTGTGGATGGGCATCACATTTCCTAGACCCCAGTCTAGCAGCTTGGAGCTGCTTGGAGCACCTCCAGGTCTTCCCGCAGCTTAGAACTGAGGCTGGCCCTGGCTCTGCTTTCAGCTGCTTGTAGCATTGACTGTATTTTGTTTAAAAGGCAAAAGTTTCCCACATTGAGTACCAGTTTCAGGATGAGCTAAAGAGAATAGAGTAAGGCAAGCTGAAGTGGTGTGGGCTTCTCTGAACTACATGAAAAAGATACTGTTTTGCCCACGTTTACAAAACATTCTTACAGGCATCTTTGAGTCCTGGACTTGAACTCAGGGGAAGGATGCTGGCTTTTGTGTTGGGGATGTGTCTTTTCCAGAGACTCAATGGATGAAAACCATGAATTCAGCCGTGTATAATGTGCACCCTGAGACGCTGTCCTAACCAACACATTTAAACAGAGAATTAATACAGAACTTCTTGTAATAAATGCAATAAATTACACATAAAATATATTTAAAGGCACAAAGAGCCTTGCTTGGAGTAATTTAGTTCAGTAAACCCAGAGTGTCCTTATGGCTAGCTCTGCACATTTACTTTCTGTGCCAGGACAATCAGGCCACAGTCATCTTTTCTGAAGCCCGTACTTCATCATCTGTCTTTTCTCTGCATAGACACAGTGGTACCGAGGTAGGGGCACAGGCAGTGGGGACTGGCAGTGTGTGGCAGTACTGAGAAAGGGTGCCTTGACAGGCTGCACTAGCCAAACTGTATGCAACATATTCCTGTAGTTAGTTCCTAGTTCACCCAGGCCTGCTGACCCAACTCTTCCCTGACGACCCTGTCTCTCTCTGGGCTCGTGGCCCAGCCACTTCTGGATGCTTGAATTAAACTTAAATCAGAGCTGCTGAAGCTGGGCCTCTAATTTTGTTAGTGCAGGCATCGTGCAGTGTCCAGGAAACACTCAAATTCAGCAATGCTATGCAAAGTTTATACATCGAAAAGAAATTGCCCAGACATGCCTATTTGGAGTGGCCAGCATATATCAAGACTGTTATGGCTTGACGTTAAACATGGGAAAGGCTAAATCCTGCATGGCTGGCTTAAGGTCACTGCACGTAGTGTGACAGAGCTCTGCATTTCCAAGGTAAACCAGGTTGGAAACTTGAGCGGGAGTTTATTCCGCTTACCTTTCCAGAGTGGCCTTCTGCCCTCATGTAAAGAACTAAACTATCAGTATTCTTTAACACAGATGGTCTCAGTTGTTGGAGTAGCCTCATTAATAAAATATTTAGAAGGGGTAATGATGCTTGCCAGGATAGCAGGAGTCAGCAGGTTAAAATTCTGAGAGACTTGCTGCTGTTTTGGTGAAGGAGCATCTTGTAGTTCCCCCCACTGATGGGGTCTGCCAAGGTGGACTAACCACAGCTGGCAGTGAGATAACACCTGGAAGCTATTACTGCCTCCCATATTTAAGGTTGGTGACTAAAACCTGAGACGAGAAGAACCTAAAATTTAAATGTTAGTAATTAACAGTTAAGGATAATAGCACACCTGCTGCAGTCCTGTAAGTAATAGGGCTGCAATATGCTCAAAAGCAGTTCCTATTTGGATGTGAAAGATTTAAAAGTAAATTTGCAATGGTCACTAATCAAAATGACAAAGAGAGGTCAGGTTATCTAGCTGAACAAAGGAATGCAACTCCTTTAGTGGGTCCATGGACACTTAACCTTGTAAAATTTGAGAGGAAGTGGGGAAAGCAATGTGGAAAAAAAATGGAAGTCTGTTGGGAATGTTCTTGTAACAGCATTCTGGAGTGCTCCTGCTGCAGGGACACGAAAGGTGCTTGGCTCTGAAAGCTTAAATCCTGGTACTTAACAGCTTAATGCCCACTGATATACTACCAAAGGGAATACCTAATCTATATCCTGAAAAGCTGTCTGCAGTCTGCAGTCTCCATGCCATATTGATAAATCCTAGTGGTAGAAGTTGCATGTCAATAACTTCTTTTGGCAGTTCAGAGTAAATGAATTTTAACTGAGAACATAACCCAAGGTGATTCTGTTCTGGCCAAAGGAGGTGCTCACCAGGGAATTGCAGCCCTTAAGGCTGAGAATGGGAAGTTGCTGCTGTAACTTTCACCTAACAGAGAAGAGATTCCCCCAGAAGCATGGGGGAAAGTCACACTGCTCGCCCACACAAGGGAGTCCAGACCTGAAAACCAAAAACTGCAGTAACAAAGGGATTCCCACAATGTTATGAGTCACCAGGTGGTTACGGCAGGGTCCCTTGAGTATGCAGCCCCACGAGAAAGCTCACTCTCTTAATTCAATGGCAAGTTAATCCCTGTATCCACTATTATTCTTTGTGATGTGACACAGCCCCAAATTCATTGTTCTTCACAGGTAATGAAGCCAATGAATTAAGTGACAGAAACACGGCCGTATTTCTTTTCTCACGGTACAACTCTATCTGCCTCAACAGCTCTCCAGGAAACCTTCTGCTTCAAAACTTTGTCTTTTTTTCCAAGTCCTCTCCCTCTGGAATTATTTATCACTATGTGGTGGTTTTAACTCACCTTTTTTTAATGTGTATTGATAGATCCCAAACAACTGTAACTGTCTGTGCTCATGAAGAGTCTCAGTAAGTGCAATAGAAGCCTATTCCAGAAATAACATCCAGTTGTACTTGAAACTTTTCCAAGTTGTCTTTCTTCACACGCTGCTCTTTGCTCATATTTCTTATTTCCTTAGACCAGTAACATCCTCAGGTTACTTTTAGTTTCTTATTGTTAGTTCAAAAGATTCCTAACCAGATTTGGTGGATTTCCAAAATGGAATTTCCTGTTTCAAAAGCTCCTACAGCAGTTTTTTTTTTAAAAACCTGTTGTTTAAAAAAGACCTGACAATGTGACTTGAGTTTAGTCTTCCTGAATTGGCGTTCAAATGTTTTAACTGTTTAAAAGCATGAGGATAATACTTGTAATACTTGATACACCACAAGAGTCTTAGCTGTTGTACACTGGTTTGTTTTATACTTTTTTTTTTTTTCATTTGCAGGTTATCAGCAGTCATCTCCTTAAGTAATATGCACAGGTGTAAAGCTGGAAGTTGTTACTGCAAAATAACCACTCTTTCCTTACAGTTTAAGTCCTGTCATCTTCCTCATTTTCTTTTGGCTACTGTTAGTGCAAGAACAATCTCATTTTTTATCAAGGACTGAGTTGCCTGCTCTCAACCCACACAAACATGTCCTGACAAAATTTCTTTCTTAAGAATTCCAGCAAGATTACAGAGTTTGTTTTGCTTTTGTTACGCAGATTTTGATTTTAATCTACCCTAGTCCCTTTTCTCTCCCCCCTTCTCCTTGTCTTCCTGGCAGAAAGTCTGTTTTACCAGGAACATATGAGTAAGGTAGTTGTCACAGCTTTTTTAAAATGTGGCTTTGTTTGACGGGTTCTTTTTAATGTCCTATTATAGGTCATAAGTGCAATGCTTAGTATAGTTTGATTTTTGAAGAATTGCCTCAGTCTTCTGTTAATCATCATAAAGTTGGAAATTATACTGACAATTTTGATACATAGCAGCCAGCACTGAATTAATAAACTGCATGAAAAGCAGATTTGGAGGCCTGAACACGTTCCCACTTTGAGACATCACAAAAACAAACTCCCAGGCAGCTCAGTTAGAGGTTGGTGGCGGTCAGTCCTGGCAGAGCCTGGTGCTACCCACACCAGATGCCTTCTTCCAGCACGGCCCCACAATTTTCCCTCTGTGAATCACCGAGAAGAAGGATGTGTCAGGAATACCTGGACTGATCCAGGGGCTGGCTGGCTGTGTGGCACTGCAAAACCAGCAGTCCTCGTCTATCGGGGAGGGTGGTGCCATGGGAGAAGCTCATGTGCTGGCACAGCAGGCATGGATGAGGCTGGTGAAATAGCAGGTCTGGGTGGTGCCTGGGTCACTCGGGGTGGGGTAGGGGGAGAGCTGAAGTGGTCTGATGTTGTGGGATGTGCTGATCAGCAACCCTTTTTTTTTCTGTAGGGGAGACTTGCATAGACCATTTCCATTCTCAGAATTGATTTCAGTTGACAGGCTTGCGGGGCAAATAGCCCGACAGCCTTAAGGACCGAGCTGCTTTTTCAGTTTGAGACAACATTTCACGGGGAGCTCATCCATCCATTCACACCGTGCAGAGGGGTGTATCCTGAGCTGATCTAATAAGCCTATAATGGAACAACGCTGTTGGAAACAAAATACGCTCAAGACACTTAGGCCAGAAGTATATCAAAGGATCCACATGACCTTATTCCTGAAAGCAGCCAGCTGTTAGTTATTTGTAGCGTATGTCCAGAAGCCAATCTTAAAGCTGGCTGGATGTGGAGGTATTTTGGTTACAAGGGTGCTGTAAATGCCGTGTGCAGGTAAAACAGGCTGCCTTATACCACATCCTACTGGCAAGTGTATACACTTCCAAGCACAGAAGTGAACAGTTCTGCAGAGTACTCAGCGCGGTACCTAGCTGTGATTAGCAAGCTCCTAGATCATGGTGATTGAATTGCACCAAGGGTCAGCTGAATTATTGAGTTACGTGAAGTTTCTGGATGAGGCTTCTTCCTTGCTACTCTGTTGTACGTAGTTTGACTTTCAAAGTAACAGAGCACCTGCAAGTTTATCAGCTACCTGTCCTGGTAAGGCAGCCAAGTATAGGAGCAACAGTCTAATTTTGGGGGTGTGGGCATGTCAACTGCTGCTGTTGCCCTGTGTGTCTGAGAGAGGACTAGGCATGCTGTGGATAGGAGAAGACTGGTCTTTTGAGTCCACTTTTGCTGTTATCCAACACAAAAATTTAAATGAAGCTACTTGAAACCTTCTCTTGGTTTTCCTTTCTGCTGGAAAAAAAAAGAAGTATTTAAGATTTGACCAGAAGAGAAGACTAAGAGAAAAAGGCAAGGCAGAAGACAATCAAAGATAATGTTTCAAACCTGTTTCCTCTTCCTTGCACAAAAGCATTTGGGCTTAGCTCTCACAACTTGTTTCATGGTCCTGGCTGAGGAAGCTGGCTGGGCTCTGAAAATTGGATGTGTTTGTGCGGATGGATTTATCCTATGGACTAATAAGTCCAAGTGCTGGACTAACAAGTGAGTTTCTTTAAAAAGCAGTACTGGAAGAAGCAGAGTCTTTTCGTTAAAAAGTAAATAGCAGAACTATGAAAGAGATGGAAGTGAGCAAGGAGGAGTTATGGTGTGGCTTCCCACCAGAAGAGAGGAAAATTTGAATGAGGGTATCAGCTTGAAGCAGGAGAAAACTGACAAAGTATATAGTCTTGAATAGCGTGGAGAATGAAAAGTTGTTATGTCTTGTAACGTAAGAATTAGAGGGGAATTTAAGGAAATTGTCAAATGGTGGTTTAAAACAAAAGGAAATGTTTTGCATAACAAAGTCGTGGCTCTGGTTATTGTGGGATGTTAGAGGAGTCTGAAGGCACGCATGGGTTCAAGCTAGGAGACCAGTTCATGGTGGCTAGGTCTACTGGGGGTTACTGGACTCAGCATTTTGCATCCATCTTCTGACCCAAGCAGATTATGCTACCCTGCCTGCTGCAAGGCAGGTGGGTCTTCTTGGGGAAACATTGTACTTGCCTCATTTTTTATAATCTTTCTGTAGTTATCTCTTAGTGGCTGTGTATGGAGACAACCTAGTGGGCTGGACAAACCTTTGGTCTGACCTAGTGCAGTTGTTTTTCAGCTTATTGAAGGGGAGTACAGTAAAGCCAGCTGTGCAGACCATGTTGTGGTGAGGGAGATAACCACACTCCCTGCCTTCTGACAAACTTAAATTGCAGCAAGGGAAATCTGGAAAATATTTTGTTATCAGCGAGGCAACTGGAAAGATTCCTGGGGAGCATGTGGGGTCACTGTCTTTAAAGGGTCCTCTAAAGAAGCTAAACAACTGTCAGGAAAAAATCACAGAGGTACTTACGCATGCCTTGGATTGGGGATTGATGGGATCTGATGGCCCTCCAAACCTCCTTTATATTTACGTATGTCTATCTAGGCATCTAGATATATGTGTACATAATATACCTAATCTATATAGCAGATATGTTTTCTAGATCAATTATTAAATAAATAACATGAAACGTAAATATAAACAATGTAAATGACATAAATCAGCAGTGGAATGTTTTTTACTCCCCCAGACTTTTAAATTATTTTCACAAACAGAAGTCATCAGGTCTGCTTGGGAATATGCAGGGTGCACCGGGGATTTAAGGCAAGAGATGTATGTGAACAGACAACCGGAGTTTTTACAGGGAAGCCCCAAACCCCCTGGAAACAGTTACGCCTCCTTCCCTGCTACCCTGCCTCTCTTTCCTCAGTTCCCAAGCTCTGTGACCCTGTCACCTACTGATGTGTGCTTCTGTTTCTTCCCTTCCTTTCTCTCTCGGGCTCTGCCGCTCCTGTCCAGGTGAATCGTGTGTGCGGAACGCGCTGAAGCTGGATCCGGAGCAGCCCAACGGCTGGAGGATCCCATTCAGCCCCAGGGGGGGAGGCTGCGGGGCCGCCATGCGCTCCATGTGCATCGGGCTGCGCTTCCACCGCCCTGACCAGCTGGACACCCTGGTGCAAGTCAGCATCGAGAGCGGCCGGATGACCCACCACCATCCCACCGGCTACCTGGGGTCCCTGGCTTCGGCCCTCTTCACGGCTCTCGCAGTGAACGGCGTTCCCCCCCGGGCCTGGGGGAAGAGGCTGCTGGAGGTGCTGCCGCAGGCGAAAGCTTACGTGCGGGACACCGGCTTCTTCGTGGAGCAGAACATGGAGCAATGGTGAGTTGCGCTCCCAGCACCGGGTTTTGTGAAAATTAAAATGAACCTCACGTACGAGAGGGTGAGCCCTGTTTATACTTAAGCTTCAGTAATCACATTATGGTGAACTCCTAGAGCAGCACATGCCTGCCACAGGATCAAATCGATTCCGAAAGTCTCTGAAGTCCCCCCAGGGGGAAAATACCTCTAACTTATTTAAAAAAAAAAAAAGAAAAAGTAGTCACATTGTGTTTGGGTCATGTCGTGACACTTTTTGGATCCAGTATGAGGTAGCTAGACTCGTCATCTCAGGCAGCGGTGACCTGATGAAGGATGGGAAGCAAGGCTGGGGAACAGCACCAGGCGTCGGGGCTGAGCTCAGCTTGAAAGTTCTAACCAAATGTGTCTGTCTGCGCAGCGCGGCTCTGCGCGCAGGGCACAGGGTGGGGGTGCTCCGGCTCTGGGGGGATGACTCAGTTCTCGCTCTGCGCCCTTTGAATCCTGTGCGGCGCCACGGCAGCAGGTGCTGGGCTGCCTCCTCCCCTGTGGCCGGAGGCAGGGGAAATCTTAACTCACTGACACACGTCCTTGTGCCTCTTACTGTAAATCATGTCCCTACTTTGACAAACCCGGGGAGGGGGGGGGATGCCTACTGTTTTGCCCAGCCATGGCTCCGGGCTCTCGACGTGGCCGTAGGGGCCTGCGGGGAGCTCAGGTGTGTGCTGCTGCCGCGGGACGTCTCTCACGGCCCCTCCATTTTGTCTCCCCGCTCGCAGGCATTACTTTGAAGGGCAATGGGAGAAATACCTGGCAGAGAGAGGCATATCGGACGGGGTCTCGCCGCCCACCTTCCCCGCCCAGTACGGCGTGGAAGAGAGAGACGCCTTCTACACCTCCCTCAGCTACGACGGCTGGGCGGGCAGCAGCGGGCACGACGCCCCCATGATCGCCTACGACGCGCTGCTGGGGGCGGGGGACTCCTGGGCAGAGCTGGCTCACCGGGCCTTCTTCCACGGCGGCGACAGTGACTCCACCGCCGCCATCGCGGCCTGCTGGTGGGGGGTCATGTACGGCTTCCAAGGGGTCAACACCTCCCTCTACACCCACCTGGAGTACCGGGACCGCCTGGAGAAGGTGGCCAGGGATTTGTACCACCTTGCCTAGGGTGGGGGCAGCAGGACCATCCCCCCCCGCCACTGCTGCCTCTCACTCTGTCAGGCTTTTGCAAACTTTATTTGGCTTCAAGCACAAGCCAGAGTGAGGCCTGCTTTTTCTGCTTGCCTGTGGTGGCTTCAGCGGAGAGGTTCTTTTGGAGCTAGCAGCTTGGGGCTTGTGGGTGGTGGAGAAAGCAGTTACAAGAGGGGTTGGTGGGAACACGCAACGGTGCTGCTGTCCCTCGAGCAGCTCAGCTCTGCGATGTCCCTTCCCCTCAGCGTGGCGGCTGCACGTCCTCTGGTCCTTGGGAGCAGAGCACCCACTGCAGCTTTGCTCGCCACGCTCCAGCAGCAGGAGACAGGCAGCTAAAACCACACAAGCTGCCCCAAAGCAGTGTCCTGCCCATACGAGCGTGCCAGAGGGGGACAGGGACACATATCTGGCCACAGGCAGCGTACAGGGGCTGGCAGAGATGCCTCGTCAAACCCATTGTGGCTAGCACCAGCTTGCCACGTGTGGGGGACAGTACTTGCCACTTTACTGAGCACATGTAAAGCTAAAACCTCTGCTCCTCAGAGATGACAGCCAGTACAGCCCAAGAGAACCGGCTGGGGCAAACAGCCACTTGTGTGTGGGGACAACAGAGTTTTCTCGTACAATTATTTTTGCAGGCAGTATTTTTTTTGTTTTAAATGAACGTGGGGGGAAAAAACCCAAACCCAAGCTGCGTTGGCGGTGCATTTTGAACAATTTCACAGCGCTTTTGCTATACAGGTAAGAATGTATGATGCTACTTCCCTTATTCTGCTAATGGGAGAGGTTGAGACTACTGGCCAAACTATTATTCAAAGTAAAAGTGGATAATGAGAGTTAAAAGGTTGCATTTTACATCAACTTAAGCCACTTTTGTAGTGAACGCTACTTACACCAAGGTGCCTTAAGATTATTTGCTTAACATTTGCTATGGATAGTTTTATAAAAAAAATACTTTTTTTTTTCTTCAAATCCAGATTGTGACATAGCACAGTACTATTGTCAGAGCAATTTCAAACCGGTGTAGCCCATTCAATAAATAGACCTGCCGTGTCTCTGTTAAACGTTATATTCTACTATGGGATGAATTAAGGGATGGGAGGGAGAAGTATGAAGAGCCAGAGAGTGGCAAGGTGTCTGCAAGCTCCTCTCTCCTGCTTGAGAGAGGCGCTGCTCTACGGGGGCAGGAGGAGAGATGATGCATCATCGGGGGGCTAGGGGTGGTGGGAGGGGGCAAGGCTGCCTGGAAGGGGGAGTTCAGCATACCTTTATGCAGGGAGCGCGCATAAAGGCATAATGAAAGCCCAAATCTGACAAAAACCAGCAGCAATAGGAACCACAACTTCAACACAGTTTACTACAGCTCTCAGGTGTGTTGTATAAAACATGTTTTAGTGCAACATAGTACAAAGTTTTTGTTGTTTTTTTTAAAAAAAAAAAAAAATCCCAAACATTTTTTCCACATCATGCATGGATAGGGTGTCTCTCTTTCTTCTCGGGTCATTACAGACAGTTACAGCAGAGAGAGTGGTTTGAAAAGCTTTGTGTTAAAACTCGTTACAGGAAGAGTCTGCCTTATAAAAACAGAAGTTTGAGACTGGGCAACACACTGCCAGGGCAACGGAGAAATGGCACTGGCAAAGTACATTCAGGGATCACCACGGGAGCCGCTTCCCGGGAAAGCCTGGGCTCGCTGCAGGAACCACCGGGCTGCGAGGGGGCCCGTTTTGGCCAGGGGGAGAGGGCCACGGGACAGCCCTCCGGGAGACCCCTGCTCCGGGACAGACAGGCTGACGAGGAGGAGTGTGGCTCGGGTGCAGCACGGTGCTCTCCCAGGAAACAACAGCTCCCGCTGACTTCATTTTCTCTTTCTTTTTTTCTTTCTTTAAAGCTGAAATGAGTTGCAGTTCCTGCCCGGGAGCAGTATGTACAGGAGAAACTACACTTACAAAACAGTACCCGCTGGCTGCAGCTGCTGCTGTTTGCTCCTCGGTTCTTCGTTTCCATTAACTTCTCATCCCACTCCTCTTTGCAGACGCCTTATCCAGTAAAGGGAAGACAAGTGTGTGGGTGTGTGATACATACATACATATATATATATATATATATATATAGGAGTGTGATGTTACGCATATGCTGGGGCCAGTAAGCAGTTGTCTTGAGGAGGCAGACTTCACAGAAGGATGAGTGAAATTTGGCCTTCCCAGCGGAAGAAGAAACCAATGCCGTTCTGGTGGAGGAGCCGAGGTGGCTGACTTGGCATGGCCCTGGCAGGGGACGGTCCGCAGCCACGGGGACCCCCTCTCAGCTGGGAGAGAGGATATGGGGTGCAGCCCTCCCACCCGAGGCTTCCCCACCTCTGAAACGCCAAGGCAACGGGGGTCTAACCGAGTAGTGCTACAGAGCATCTGCTGAGGTCCCCTTCTCTTCACGAAGAGCAGTCCGACCCTCCGGCAGAGGACAGCGGCTGTGGGTACGGCACCTCTCTCGCACGAGGCTGGGGGGCTGCGCCCGTCCGCCCCGCTTGGCTTCAGCCATGCTGCAAAAAATAAATGGCCGGATTTGCCAGGAAGACATCAAGGAAGACAACAAAAGGCCATTTTTGGCAAACATTTTCTTCCGCCAGACGTGACCGCTTCGGGCGCCATGGGGGAGGAGGCGGTTTCCTCCACAGGGCAGGGCAGGGGTACTTGGCGTGACGGGGTGCGGGAGCTCCCGTGCCCCGAGTGGTGAGAGCCCTGGTTTGGTTCGCGAGAGCCATATCTTTCACAGAAAGAACAGCATTTCCTGCCACAGCGACTGCCTACGACAAGAGCAGGGGACTTTGCCAGGAGGGGGAGCTTATGGAGAAATGGTTTCTCCTCCTAAAGCCCCAGGAACGAAAAATGGCAGACGCACACACGCAAACAGGGGAGGATTTCTTGTGGCACAAGGGGACAGGGAAGCCCCCAGGGCGCCGATGCGCTGCAGGCTCCTTGCCTCGGCCAAGCTCGCACCGGCAAGTAGTGCAAGTCACAAGGAAACTCGTGACACTCGGTGGTTAATTGCACGTCCCTGCTGCGTGGCGTGGCTGCAACTGGGCTCCTTGGCTGAACCATTCAGAGGCTGTGAACCCAACCGTGGAGTTTCCTTCCCCTTTCCCCCTTTCTAGAGTCATTACTTTGGTCATGTTGAAGCCCTCAGGGACTGGATCCAGCCACCTTCCCCCTGGTGACTGGGGCACAGAGGGGACCTGCCTTGTCAGGAGTGGCAGTATGGACACCAGGGAGGACACAACTCTGGTAAGTTGGACTGTGCAAAGACCCTCTTTGCTAGAAACAAAGTTAGGGCTTTCAAGTGTCCTCCTTCCATCTCCCTCTTCAGTTCCTAGAGACAAACTAAATTGCTTTCGTTCTGATCGCAAGCACGCTGGATATTCAGTCTCTCCGAGACCAGGGAATGCTCCCAAAAGTTGAATTGCCCCTCCTGAGAGAACAGTAAGATGGAGGAAAGAACATACTGAGGCTACAGCCAACCTTTGAGATGGACCTCCTGACAGCCCAGCTAACCCCTCAGAGGTGGACCTGGCTTCATCTGTTTTGGAAGAGGGAGGAGCTAGCTCAGCGCACCTAGGGAAAAGATGTTCTTCGCTGTGGCACCGAGCCTGAGGAGGAAAACCACAGTCTATTTTGGAAAACACACACATTTACTTCCAAAGAGGTTGTCCCAGGACCAAAAGGCCCCTGGGATCCCCTCACTGTCTGGAGGGCAGGAGAAGTCTAACAGTTCCTGGAGTGACCAAGAAAGAAACGACAACAAAAAAGTAACGGCCCAAAGGACAGCAACTGATGGGAGCAAAATGAATCAGAGAGGAACATCTGCTATGTACAGCCAGCACAGGGACCCTCCATCTGTTGGGGTGAGGTGGTGCCTTCCCACAGGCGCTGGGGGAAGCCTCAGACCTTCCTGTCCCTGCAAGCTGGGCACTCCACAGAGCTCAGCCGCTGCGCTGGGGCACAGACAGTGAAACAAATGAAACAAGAACAACAAAATCCACTTTGTTCCTTAGGGATCCCGGTGTGTCTCTGCTTCTCTCTCTCTCTGCACATCCCCCTGGGCGCCTCTGCCTCTTTAGTCTATGGTTCCCGGGTGGATGCTGAGGACCGGTGGCTCTAGGCAAGTGGGAGAGTAGTTGAGGTGAGGCTCTTTGATCCACAGCAAGGGGACCCCGTTCTTGCCCTCCGAGTTCTTGCTGGAGTTTCGGCTCTTGAATCGCACCAGGAGGATGGTGATGATCAAGATACCAAAGATGGGGAAGGGGTAGAAGAACACGAAGTAGAAGAGGGCGTCGTTGGAGCAGATGACAGACTGCAGGGTGGAGCCTGGAAAGAGACACAGGATGGTCACATTTCACAGCTTATCTGCAATGTATGGCCTATAAACGTCTTCAGAAATATCAAAAACAGATGCTCATTAATTTGTGTCAATGCAGGAAGTGAGTCTGAGAAAAATACCAATATTGGTAAACAGAGCAGTGGAAAAAAAGCTATTGCAAGGCATGTTTTGGCTTTATTTCCCCCAAGAGAGAGTCACCCCTGGACTTTCTGTGGATTTTCTGATGTCTTATAAAGCTGGGAGCCTTGCAAAGCATAATTTCTGTCTGTGATGGTACACAGAGGCAGCAACCCAGGGTACCTCCCTTATGGGCCCACAAAACTCTCATGACCTCTATGGGGCCTCTAAACCATCGGATGGCTTCAAGAGTTGCTAGAAGGAGACTCTTGTGCCACAGATTGTGCCATTGTGCAGAACTAAGTCAAATTCCACGTCTGTTTCCCAAAGGGAAAGGCTAAACCCCAGTGGAGGGCAATGTCTGCCTCCCCTGCCCCAGACACACCAGGCAGCAAGTGCTGCGGGATGGGCGGCCCTAGCACAGGGCTAAGGGCAGCACAGACGTGCGAGCCTGGCCAAGAGCTGGGCTACAAGCCACTGAGCTGGCTGGCAAAGCCCTGGCTTCACAGACTTGCCCCGGTGCGGGCAAGACCCCGTCCCACTCACTCCTTGGCCCTTTTATCTTGGTTGACCCAAAGACGCAGGGGATGCCAGGGCCATGCCCTCCAGAGGGTTGTTGCCTCTTCTCACCTGCATCCTGCACGTGAACGGCAACCGTCCCCGACTCCTCCTCTGCCAGCCGGTACCACACGCCGTTGGGGTCTGCCAGCCATTCCTCCACACGGCACGAATAATTGCCGGTGTCGGCACCGCCGGCTTGCAGCACCGTCAGCCGGAAAAGCACCGCCGAGAGCCTCTGGAAGCGCAGGCGGCCCTCCCAGCGACCGGCCTCGGGGCTGAAGACGGCGTCAGGCCCCACGCTCAGCACCGCCTCCCTCTCCTCCTCCTCTTCCTCGTCCTCCTCCGCGCGGCCACCCGCCTCTTTGGCCCGCAGGTTGTACCACGTCACCGCAAAGTGGGACTCTGGGCTGGAGCGGGACAGGATGCTGCAGTCCAGCGGGAAGGACTCCTTCTCCTGCACTGTGAGGTTGGCGGTGGCCGTGTCCACTTGCAAGGTGGGATCTAAGATGACAAAAGGGGAGAGGTGAACGTTGAGCAAAATGCTACCATCAAGGCCACTGTGCCCCAGCGTAAACTGACTGTCGTGGCTCCAGCGCTGGGCACAACCCAAGAAAAACCCAAAGGCTTGATGCAATCTGCCAAGTCCCACGGGTACCTCTGTGGTCAACGCTGGAGGCTCCCCATCCTCTCCTCACCACACACCACCTTGGCACAGGGTCAAACAGGAGCTGGCTGCCAGCGCTGTGCTACCACCCTGCCCATGCAGACCCTCGCACCAACTAACGGGCATGAGTATGTGCAAGAGGAGAAAGCTGCTGCAGCTCACCCAGATGCGCTACAAGAACATGTGAGGAACCACCGAGGTTTGCTCCGTGCACTGAGGAGCGATGAACTACTGCTCCCCAGCCACTGGTGCAAAGAGCACCACACTCCACGCTTATTTTCTATTTCTTTGAGAGCGCTCAAAGGACTTGACAATCAGTACGACAGAAGAGGAGAAGATTTTTCCCAGCAATT